CCTACACTGGGATACAGATACACCTAACTGATGAGCACCGAATAGAAATTCTTGCTCATTATGAATTTCATTACTAACAATAATTCAGTCGTACTAAAACCTGTACTTACATCATTAGTTAATCGGTTGAAATGTCATGTAAAACCATCAATAGAAGTTGCTCGAGATGTCTATATTGTAAAAGTAGTAGTGCAGTGAACAAGAAAACCAGCGGGGACAATTGAATGCATTTATGCACAAAATTACAGAGCATCTCAAAAAAATCTGAGAACCATATAGTAAATGCTCAATTCGCAAAATATGCATCAATTGCCTTAAAATGACTCAGACTTCATTGTTCTCGTACTTTCATACAAATCGCATTATGTTTCAATTCTTTACTGTCCAATCCTCTTGTCTCTCTGCTGCCAAACATTCTTTTCCTGACTAACGTCATATACTACTTATATCGACATAAATAGCACACATCTTAGTAGTAGCAATAGTATTAGTGATAAATTTGGTTTAGCAATTAGTTTACTGGCTTTTAATAATCAATGAGCAAAAAATTTATCAACACAAAACATTAAAATAACATCCTGTTATTATACTACTTATAACTCATTAGTAAATATCCATGAATAAAAATAAAATAATTAATATGAGTTGATTTTATATCATTTACATCAAATATGAATGCAAGAAAACAAAATATACAATATGTTAATCTTAGAAGAGATGTTAATATAGCTGATAATGGGAAATACCTTTTTGTACATTAATTTAATCTATCCTAATTAACTTTTCTAATAATCTTTCTTTAACAGTTAGTATCAATTTACTAAATTATTCCGTTCAAAAATTCATTATTTGTATTAAGGAACAATAAATTATTATTATTATTATAAATGTAATTTGTTAATTAAGTTTCATTGATAATTAAAGCGTATAATATAAATTTTATTAAAGAAATCAATATGAAATTTTAACTTGTTTTACTATTTTAATGACAGAAAAAAAACAAAAAAATTTAAGCGAAAATATTGAAAATTCAAATAAACAAACAAATAAATAAACAAAAAGTTCATTATTTTCAATTTAGTGAACTAAATTTAATTTATACAAATATTCGTCAAGATTAGGACGAATAGTTTGATAGAAATTAGGCGTCGAGTATAGAGAAGTCATTATATGTGAAAATTATTATTTGAAATAATCTCAGCGATTGAAATTTAAAATAATTCCAACATTTCGTCCAGCTAACTTGTCTGGACTTCTTCAGGGTAGTAATCAAAATCCAGAAAAGAAAAAAACTTTCGTTATCAACTGAGATTATTAGTGCCAATCTTACAAAAAATATTGCTCAGTGACATGCTTTGATTTTGATTATTACCCCGAAGAAGTCCAGACAAGTTAGCTGGACGAAATGTTGGAATTATTTTAAATTTCAATCGCTGAGATTATTTCAAATAATAATTTTCACATATAATGATTAAATTAAATTACTTTTTATTTGATTTTTTTTCTAATAAATCAACTTTGTTTGTTTTTCTTTTTTAAGAAGTAAAATGTTGATGAGAAAAGATAGATTTTATTGAATTTCATAACATTATCGATATATACATATAATACCATCTTAATTTCTGTTATAACTTGTGGCCTGAGTGCCCTGGTAATGGATAACGCAATAATACAACCAATCACTGTGTAGTGAATTATCGATCGGACCAAGGACGGGTAAAACACGTACGAGAAGCCTGGAGTGCTGATTGGTCCTGCTTCCCGCCTAGTCCAGCCTGTTCAGTTCAGAACACCAATCTCAGCCTCTACAATATGAATCCTGTATTTCAAACATACTTGGTTTATATACCAATCAGACTACAACGTACCATAAAATAGAAAATAACATTTGTACAAAATTTGGCCAAATGTGGCTGTGAATGAGCGAGGCAGTGACTAATAGACAAGGCATAATTCAAGAATGGTAAAACGTATAATAATGGTTCATGGGTCAAAATTAAACCCATAATAAGAGAAATATGAATATGAACAGTTTAGTTATTTAACAATTATACGATAAAAATATACTCATAGTATTGGTCCATAAATGGATCCCAAAGTTACCAATCATTATGCTTATCGGGACCTAACAATTTCATGGTAAAGAAAGTTTATAGTTCATATAGATCATACCAGTGGCATTTGGATTCTTTGAAATAGATAGTTAACATATGAATTATTCATTGTATTTGTATTTCTAAACAAAAGCGATTTCTTAAACCTCAAAATAGTAGACATTTTACGTTTATCTGTATTAAATAAGGTTGGTTGACTAAGCTATCGGTTTGAGAATTTGTTTTGATTAATTCTTTACTTTAACTTGATGTTTGAACTAGTTTGGAGATTGAGTCTCTTATCATTTGTTTATTGATTGCTGAGTAAAATGGGAGTGGAGTCTATAAAAAACTCTTGGAATTTCTTCGTGTTTAAATTTACTTTTTAGATATTTCCTCAGAGTAATTTATGTCCGCAGTTATCTGCATTCATTTAAACATTTGAAGACATATTATTGTGTTTACATAAACCGAACCAAAGAGGACGGATTTCTTCTACGGTGCATTTTGTTTCACCGTTGATACAATCTGTCTTTGTGATATTTCTTTTTAATAATTTATCGTTTAGTTTGTAGAGATTTTGTGATTACAATTGATTGATCAATTACTATAGTCCTTAAATTTAGGATCATGTTTATATCTTAGATCATGTAAACATATTACATCTATAACAATTTATGTACCTAATAAATTTGTAAATAAATCACTCTATAATTAGTTTTCTTTATGAAGCCATACATTCAAATTCTGAACATGAATTGAAAACCCACGTAGTTTGATGAAGTATACTAAACGTCTTAAAACTGACATACATTGTAAGCGATGACAACTTCTTTCCTTTCTTTGATAAATTTTTAATACAATAAATGTGATTAATAGTATCATTGTCTATATGTCATCAGGGAAATTAGCAATTCAAACGGTGTTGTACAAAAATGAGTGCGTAATCTTGAAATTAAATTGATTGTAAAAATAGAAATTTCGCTTAAATTCTCCTCATCAGATCAGTGAGGAGTTTCAGAAGCAAATCTATTCAGTTTCTTTTTGTTAATTCAAGTGATTGATGTTTTTGAATGTATTAGCAAATTTTTGATTTAAAAAACGTTAAAAATGCCACTTTCATATAAACCATTTATCAAACAAGTTTTTTGATATAAGTTTTATAAGTTTTCTACAACTTATAAATGAATTTTACTGGGAACTTACACCATCTGATGGAGAAGTTTAAAGCTAATGTATTAGACAATAATCACCTTCTTGTTTGGGGCATAATGAAAATGTTCACGTAGAATTCAGTTTATAACTCGTGAATCTTAAAATGTCTTGGAGATTATTATCAGACCCCAATTCAATGACTCCAATATTTTACGTTCGTCACAGGACTCGAGTTAATGAATTTTTCTGTGTATACTGATGAGTAGTATGTCACTGAGCAATGTCGCTGAGCATCAATAATCTCAGTTGATAACGAAAGTTTTGTTTATGTAAACTGAGTACCAAGTGTATTATTTCTTACATAGAACAAACTTGCATGATAAAGATTTAAGTATAAGTTTTTTGTAATTGACTAAGTCTAATCACCTTCGATTTTTCTGTAGCATTTATAAATGCATTATATCTGAATTCTCTGACCAATATTTAGGCATACATTACCTACAGATTTTTCAATCTACTCATTTATTCACTGGGAATGAATGTAAATAAAGAATTATTAACTTTTATGTTATAAACTACTTATCTAATATCTGGTTATTATTGCACTCATTTACTTCGAGCCAAATTCTAAGTGTATGTGAGTGTGTGGCTAATGATACTACCTGATCCTGATCGTGTAGATGAAGCTGAGTTCATAACTGGGACTTATTGGCAGGAAATCAGACTTCATAACTAATAAGCGACTGTTCCGTGTTTGCTTAGTAAAGATTAGGACTAGAAAAGAATATGTTTTATTATGTACATACTTTGAAAGTGAAGTTCAATAAAACATAAATATAAGAAGGAAAATAGATACCGTTAAGACATGGTTACTCTGTTAACCAGTGATAAATTGTGTCAGGCTTTCTGGTCTTTAGAACTTGACATGTTTTATCAGTTGATTTCTTGATGTAATGTATCAACATTTTATTGAATGTTTTAGAAACATTCGTTAGTGGGATATGATGAATGGTGTACTGAATAGTACTTATAAGCAATGTAAGTCAGCCGAAATTACTCACTAGTAATGTCATTATTTGCACCTAAGAGTCAAGTAATTTGAACTGTTAAGGGGTTGAAGTTATCAATACACCAGAAATCGTAGACACATTCTCATGAAACTGAGACTTAAAAGATCTCATTAACTGTTTTTAACGGTGAAACATAATATCTAGTTTAAGTTTAATGCACAACTAACGGGGAATATATAACATAAAATATTAAATTGCGTCATACTTATATTGAAGAATAAAGATCAAATTTATGACTCAGTACTCGGTTTTTATTTCTTTGGTTGTTTCGACATATTTAATCTTGTAAAATTCGTAAGTTGATTTGATACGGTAAGTGCCTAAATAAAAGCTGATGAGTTCGGATTAGTCAAACATTATTCTGAATCTGTTTATTATTCGAAAATCAGCGCACAGGAATGTAATTTTTGATCCGCTTTTTGCTTCAAATAAATCAGCAACTGTCAAAAGTTATTGTTCTCGATTTCAAGGAGTCATAGACGTTTATTTAGGGTATCTGAAAAGAAAAATTGACAGTGCAAAGACAACTGCGTCAAAATCGTATAACCAGCTCGTTTCAGTCTAATTGATTGTTAGCAGATAAACTGAGGAACATTCTTTTTCCCATCAAGAATAACGTGGCCATGATATAATAGACATTTCAAATTTTAATGTTTGTTCTATACATTTGTAAATAATTCAGGTTCAGTCACATTCACTCCATGGAAATGAAGACCAATCTCTATCAGTTCAGTTTCAAAAAAATAAAACTCAACGATCTTTAGATACCGGTTTGGAAAGCAAGTCGGCTGATTTGAAAAGTAAGTATGCAAAATATGAACATTTTATGACATTGCGATTGTATAGAATAACGAATAAATAGTTAATTTTTGTTATAGCATACTTAAAATCTGTCAAGCAAATGCTTATTATTGTAGGATTTTTATTAGATTGAGATAATTTGTGCATTATGGACTATCCAGTAAAACGTATTCACCTGAGGGATTAATCATATTTCCCAACTGTAATATAAACAATGAAAGTTTATTGAACGTAGGGTCCAACCATGTCTGTTGTGAAATGATTATCCACCGCAGATAGTGGAAGGCGGTAGATAAATATCTTTAATTGAGTAAGGTTAGACATTAACACCAGTGGGTATTGACTTGGTGGTCTAGAAGTTAAGCATCCATGCATAAGACCGGGGACCTTGAGCTCAAATCTCAAACGCGGCTTATGGATGCACCATAGTCAGAAATTCCATGCTAGGACCAAACAGTCATCAATTAACTCAAGATTTTTAGCAATGGTCTAACCAAGATCACTTAATGATTTCAACGATGAGAATTTTACAATTTCCACAAATCCCTCCACATTGATTTCTTTTGATATTAAATTCATTGAGTAACAATTAGATTGTAATACAAGTTGCCTGACTATTAGATTATCCAAAACGTAGCTTATGCAATAAACTTAAGTCATAAATTTATATTATTGAAATTATAGATAATAGATTGACTGAATCATATAAATAGATACTGTTCCAGAAATATTTTAGTTGAAAAGGAAATTGTGTCTGTATAAAATTTATGTTAATAACCACAGATTCAATCTTTGTTATCAACTAAGAACCAAAATTCACTTGGTATTGTTTTACTTGTATCTTTCTACTGTTATTTAGGACTGAAATTGATCGGTCTCATGTTGGCATATATGCATCCTGTGCAGATTGTCTCGATATAGTCACAAGCTTTTTAAGCTATATCGAGGCAATCCACACAGGATGCACATATGTCAACATGAGACTAGTCAATTGCAGTCCTAAATAACAGTAGAAAGATACAAGTAAAACAATACCAAGTGAATTTAAACTTCACCCCATTACACAAGCAAGTAGCCATCAGGATTCAGTAGCAAAGTGGATAACGCGAAGGCATTTGAAGCGAACGGTACTGGATTCGAATCCAGGAGTGAACATCAACTCTGGGATGAAGGTACATCCAGCTGACGAGTGCCAAAGAGGACGAAACGTGCGTCGTTGATTCCACTGCTAGGGACTATCCATCCTTGCTTAAGAAATGAAATGTTTGAACTAATAGTACAAATGTAAAAGATTCATATATTTAAAAGGTATTTTGTTTAAAACAATTAATCTTTCATAAATGTGGGTAATGGAATGAAAGGAAAAAAGGGGTTTATCCAAGCTATACGATATATTAACTTGATATATTTCACAGAATCGGATCACACATTTACTTAATAGCATTTATAAATGAAAAATAAAGGTCAATTAGGTGAATTAAAAGATCAAAGAAAAACAAAGATAATAATAATAATAAAAACAATGTGTAAAACAACGTGTACCATACTACTTTGAATAATAAGTTCAATTTAAGTAAAAAATTATTTCTGAACACAATCGACATTAGAGTTAAACATTGAAATGGCTGGGGATTCAATGTTGAAATACATAATAAGATTGGTTCTTATTCACACTTGATAGTTTTGTATAGTAATTGTCTAAAGTAAATACTTTGTTTATTCATTGGATTATCTTGAAGTATTTATTCATTATCCATTATTATCGTGTTTCATCGTTATTTTAATACATCGTGGCTGCGTTGATCACATATTCACCATTCATCACGTTTTAGAACACATTCATACTTATCGACCTCCGACAGTGGTGGTATTTCTTGACTTAAAAGCAGCACTTGACTTCGTAAATCGCGAGATTGTGTGGCAGTATCTGTCATTGAAGAGCGTACGTCAGAAGTACATAAGCTTTGTGAAGGCTCTTTACTTGAACACTTTACTCATCTTGGAAGTTTGATTAGCCCTAATGGGTTGATGCCTGACGAAATCTCAGCACGGATTCGAAAAGCTCGTTTGGCCTTTGCCAACTTACGTCATCTATGGCGAAGGCGAGATATCCGTTTATCAATTAAGGAACGAGTATACTGCGCGGCAGCTCGCTCCGTTCTACTATACGGCTGTGAAACATGGCCCTTAAGAGTAGAAGATACTCGTAAGTTACTAGTATTTGATCACAGATGTCTTAGAAATATTGCTCGCATCTGCTGGGATCACCGGGTAAGTAATAGTGAAGTTAGACGCAGGGTATTAGGGGATGATGGTACATCAGTTGATGAGGTTATGAATCTTCATCGACTGAGATGGTTGGGCCACGTGTTGCGTATGCCTGAACACCGATTACCACGACGTGCTATGCTGAATAGTGTTGGCGATGGTTGGAAGAAAGTTAGGGGCGGTTAATCCAAAACGTGGCATCAGTGCTTGAAATCACTAACTCCAGGTCTGAGCGATGTTGGTAGATACAAACTACTTGATTGAGGTCCGCGTGACTGTCGTAACCAATAATTGGAGACTGTGTGTGACATGGCTCAGAATCGATCACAATGGCGTCAGTGTATACACTCTCTGTCTTCCTTCAAACTAAGAGATTAAAATCACTTCATATCTTTCTCTCTACGAAATAATTCTTTCTTCCTGTACTATATCCTTATACACAATCTTTCTTCTATATATTACCACCACTGAATTGACCATTTCTATGAATTCGATGTTCATCTCGCTGTGCTAATGCGGTATGGCAACTTGGACTGATGCATATATGTGCCTGGTCCTACGTTGTAGCTGACTGACTGACTGACTGATTTTAACACATTTTTCTATCACATTCATTATTCTGTACTATTGAAAAATGTAGAGTTTTCAACTCGATAAAAATATGAATGTATTATATACATCTTATAAATTTGTAAGATAATCCTTTAAAGTGTTCTACGTATATCATTCATTTTAATGTGCTTAGAATTTTAAGGAAATATCTTAAAATCTATTCATTAATACGTTGAAAAAAATATTGATATCTTTATTGAACAAAAAAAGATACTGATAATATCCTTAATTCTTGTGGGTTACTAACAGAAAAATACACTTCTAATATAAACAATATATATATATATATATATATATATATATATATATATATATATATATATATATATATAATCCAGATTGATTTTCATTACAGATACAATCAATGACCTGAACTCAAATCAAATTAAATTATAAAAAATTTAATAATAATAATAATAATTACTATTATGGAAAATCTGAATTCCAACATAAAAACAATGAAAGTAGTTCATCTATTCATTGTGAATACAAAATTTCTAACTATTATTTTTTTTACTGCTCAGTTAAACCATTTTTTTAATCAACATTTTACTATCAGTAAAGTAGTTATAAAAGACAGAGAGTGAGAGCAAAAAATGGAAACAGTGGAAAGACAAACACGATCGATAGAGACATGTTAGGGGAATTAGTAAAGAACACGAAAGTAGAAAAAAGTAATATTAATTTGCCTTTATTTATTTATTTTCACAGTGGTATATATATATATATATATATATATATATATATATATATAAATTCGACCCCCTTAGAAATATTAAGGTTGATTGAGAGAAAAAAAGATTAATGAGATAGATAGGTAGAAAATGAGCTCTATTCGATATCAATAATTCTGAAAGAGTGAATTGAGAGCCTGAGCAGGCGGATTAAAACAAAACACATCAATAAGATTAATTAATAGAGGCAAGCAAAAAACCATAAAAAAATTCGTCAGGTGATTAGAAGTAAACAAAAAACTCGGTTTTCATTTTTTTTTGAAATAAAAACAAAATAAAATAATGATAAATAAAGGCCAGTCAATGATGTAAAATATTAAATTTTTTTATGGCATAGAAACTTATATTTCTATCTCTTAACGATAAAAGACAGTGAAGGTTTTCGGGTATATAAGTTCATAAACATTTATTGATTTGATACTAGCTTTCTTCTTTTTTTAATAATAAACTGATAATCCCTTAAAATCAGAAATGACTGAGTTGATAATTATGTGGATATTTTAGATCAAGTTAAAGTATGGGTCTAATGATTTCATGTTTTCAATGATTCTTCAGCAGATGTTACTTAGTGATAAAAAAAACTAACTTCACATTAAAATGAAGTAGAATATATCTGTAAACAGTTCATGGATTTTAATTGAACGAATGTTCGATGATGTTTCACTAGGCAGTTTGGTATAAGCTTCATCAGAGAATTTTTATACGTACATTGCTAGCTAGTCACTTATAACCATTTCTTATTCAACAATCAAATGATTTGCAATTAAGTTATTCACATTCATTATGAAAAAAACAAGCTAGTTATTATCAGGGTTCAGTAACTAAGTGGATAATGCGATGTCATTTGAAGCGAACGGTACTGGATTCGAGTCTTGGAATGAACATCAATCCTGTAATGTGGCAGATATGCCCATCTGATGAGTCTCAAATAGAACGAAATTTACGTCCTGAATACCACCACAAGCGACCGTGGATTTATTTTTTATAATACTTGTGACTGAAGGTAATATCGAGGCAATCTGTCAAGGATGCTGTTAGGGTTGAAGCATTAGATAATTTCTGGGGTATTTTCTGAATATCCCAACAGATGTAAATATGCTAATCAGAGAGTAATCACTTGCAGTCCTAAATATCAATAGGAAGATAAACAATCAAAACAAAAGTGAATTTTAAAAAAACTGCCTGAATAATTTTCTAATTATTATTGTTGTTTTTCATATTTATGTAACTAGAGGTTATTTAACAAGCGGATAAACAAATTAAATTTAGTCAGTATGACATAATCAAGAAAACACTTTAAATCATTGAATGTTAAATCATTATAGCTTAAGCGAATTGTTAATCTATGTGTTGTATGCAAAATCAAGTGTGTGTAAAACAAAATTACCTACTGAATATCCACTACTTATTTCTAATATAAATAATGAGAAAAATTACTTACTTATCATGAAGTTGAATGTTGTTAACTGGAAAAAAACAACAAAAAAAGAGAAACGTGTTTTATCATTATGATATAGATCGCTTATATTCATGTTATTAACAAAAAACAAAAACAACATGACAAACTGTCACTATGGGGAAAATATTTTCTAGAATGTAAGCACTAAAATAAATTAACTTAATGAATCTTATTATGATTCAATGACTAGAAAAAAGAAACTTCCTAAGAAAATACCTATTTTCAACCTTCCTAATAAGACGACAATAATATTCATAATAATAATAATCATGTTCTTATAAGCTATACACTAATTAAACTCAAAGTTTGTTTCAATGTGAATATATCTCTTAAGTTATTTTATAAGCATTTTATTCATTCTGTTAGTTTACAAAGTAGAGATGGAATAAAAAATGTCTATGTACGTAAAGAAAGAAATATGAAGTGATTTTAGTCTTTTATAATATTAATAATTATAATTACAATGATCATTCGGCGAGACTATAATTTATGGACCAACCAATCAGGTATAAGAAAACAGATCTAAGGTTTTGGCGCGAAATTCACCCATCCATTTGGCTAAATAGAGTTTTAGCAATATAGCTTATATCGTTTCATGATGAAAACCCTAAATCTAATTCCTAACCTTAACCATCAATTATAAATCATAATTCTGATTCCTTACACTGGTTCTTGTTATTAGGTAAACACTCTCAAGGTCACTTTAGTGTCGCTCAATGGTCATCCATAAATTATAGCCTCACTGATCATTCACTCTTTTGGAAAGGTTCCTTCATTTAGAAATATTATTAATTATTAGAGATTATATTAAAGGTGATGATTCCTTTTTGTTTGTTTTATTTTGCTCGTTATAATTCGCTTCAATTGTGAATACGTTTGAGTGTTGAAAGCTGTCAATCATTTTAGATTATATTTTATATGTGATTATCTTACTAAATTTTATACAATCTGATATCTTTAATCCATTTTGTATATAATTGGATGAATAGATAAAATGCATATATATATATATATATATATATATATATATATATATATATATATATATATATATAGTTTAGTTGTTATACTGGAAAGATAAGGTGGTTATACGCTTTTAAATGTGAAACGTTTTACAAGTATCATGATCCCTTAATAAGATTATAAACTTCATGAAGAAAATTATTCATCCATTCATCTCTTGAGTTTATTGATTACATCTTATATACGTCAACTTTCAAAGAGCGAGATAGAAATGTTATTTTGTTTGTAAACTATTGTGTCTTATTTGTCATCATTCTCCTGACATGAAATGTTCCTAATAGATCTTGATATTATGTTGTGATGTTTCTTGTCTACTAAACAGAATAATGTTAGCTACAAAACCACTGAAGATCAGGGAGCCCCAGACAACTGTGTCGTCTTCATGTTGCTTACCTTAGATTAGAACAAAACACTCTTTTAGTGCCTCCTAGTTCTGACTGACTGTGCAAATGAGACTCGTTTATGATGTAAATTACAAAATTCGATTATCACAACAATCATCTACCAAAAAAAAATTTTATTTTCTACTTTCAATATGTGAATCTTTATGTAAGAGACGGAATTAAACTACATTACTTCTATTTTTTGGTCCCTCATGTCAACATTTTTACAAAGAATTTGTCAACAGCAACAGATTTGAATAATCACAGCATTTTCAAGAGTTTTAACATTGTGATGACAACTGACAATGAAACATACATATTACTTAAACTAAACAATCTGGAATTTAAAAAAACTGTCTTAAAATGTGCAGAAATAAAATGTCAGTTTTTTAAGCAGTTGTTTAGATTTCGTTAAAATTACAAAACGATCTTAGGCAACCATTCCAAACTAGGAAACATTAAACAAACGTTTCGTTGTAGTACGGGACTTTTCAGCAATGTACAACTACGACCCAATATCCGGGTTTGAACCCGAAACCATCAGTCTGGAACACAAATATTTAACCTCTATAGATCTGAGCCAGGATACAGTGGTGTATAAGTCTAACTTCAATCAGTCTATATTATTGCGCTGGACCGAAAGTTCTGGGTTCGATTCCCGGCTGTGTGGTCTTGAATGCACACTGCTGATAAGTCTCATATTTCGACAAACATAGCTGTTCATTGCTTCCTGGTCTCGGGTGATTATCTAGGTAAGATCGATTCGTGATTTCAACAAAATTCAAGTCTCCACAACCTTCTTCTGACAATGGTTTATATATTGATGCCTTGAAGTTGTATCTCATTTAATTTTGATTTTGTTTAAACTAATAAACAATATTTAGTTATAAGATAGACAAAATAAAGAAAAATGAAATTTGTTTTCTTTGTTTCTAATTTGTACATATTTCTAAGAATATTTGGTAAGATGGTGATTTATCGACGACCTTTGAGCAACGCTAAAAGATCTTGAGAATGTCTATGTACATACTTCGACTAAATGAAGGTTATAAACCACTGTGAGTAATTAGGATTAATATTTACAGTTGATAGTTAAAATAAAGAATAAGATTTACGGTTTTCATCACGAACTAACATCAACTATAATTCCAAAACTCTATTTAACCAAGTGAATGGATTACTTTCTAGCCAAAATTCAAAATTGTTATCGTAAACCTGATTACTTCGACCATAAATTAAATTGTCGCCGAATATATTATTTCTGTTCACTTCGAATAATAATAGTTTATGTTTATTCTCTTCCCCATTAAGTATTACTGTCATTATTTCTAAAATGTTTCTTAATTGTTATGTTTCATATTTTGTTTTATTTAGGGAAGTTATTGTGAAGACCATCTCAGAAATAATGTATTTCTTTGTGCCACAAGAACACCTATAAATTGGTTGAAAAAAAGATGTTTAAGAACATTTCCTCTGGAAACATTTTAATATGTTAAAAATAACGGTACATTACCAATGTAGACCTTAGTTTAAAACTACATGTATTTACTTAGATACATGTAAACTAAACTGTTGATTTAAGAAACGATGATGAGAAATAAGATCACAGTCTTACTGATAGATACCGAACAGATTAACACCATATTATTCAAATCAAAGGACAAAATGTACAGTTTATTTATCAATGTAGATATATCAATATAACAGTTATACATTTGATGTTTTTCTATCAAATCACGGTGTATTGTAGTGAACGAGAACACTAATGGAATCCATTGAATGTTCTACTCTCATATGTATTTAACATGGTGGAGATGGTGGAGAGCTGCAAAACCATCGAATGCATTCGAATACAAAATTACAGAGCATCTTAGTAAAATCTGTAAACCATACAGTAAATACTTAATTTGAAAAATGTTAATCAATTGTCCCAGATTTCATTGTTACTTCATTTCCACAGAAATGTCTTTCTGTTTTCATTGTCTTTTCTATGATTTTCTTAACCTCCTACCTCCCGGCATTTTACTTTTGACTGATGATACATACTACGTATATCTATCGACACAAGTAGCACACACCACAATTTTATATGTAATTGTTTTTTTTGAATTTTCACTATTCAAGCGAAAAATTAACATTTGTTTTGCTTTAATGTACAATCAATTTACAGATCGATAGTTTACTCAAGTAGATGTTCAGAGATATAACAGTTTGAAGTATTTTGTTAATGACGTTTTAGTGCATTGAGCTTGTCAGAAAATAATAAAATAAATTTTTTGATACTTGAGTCATTTTTAACATTCTCGCATCAAACTGTGATTATATTTTTATTTTGAATAACATATAGGTTGCTGTTCTGTAGTGTAAGAACACTGTAAGTTGATCATATGCTTCTAAAACCAAACAACGCTGTATCTTTAAATTGTCTATATTCATAATTATTTCAAATAGATAGACTCAAGACAGTTAACCATTCAGCATTCCAAGATTAAATGACTAATTTTCTATTTTCCTAAAAGATTTCATAAGGTAATCTTTCTATTTATATATAAACATTTGTAATATGTGATGGTGTTTGAAGCGAACTGTATTGGGTTCGAGTCCTCGAGTGAATATCAATTCTTGGATGCAGCTAAATCCAGCTGACGAGTCCCACATAGGACAAAACACGCATTCCAGATCCCTTTACTAGAAACTATCCATCTTTACTTATAATGCTAGTTGCTGAAGACAATAACGAGGCAATCCGCACAGGATACGCATATGCTTATAAGAGACTGATCAATTGCAATCCTAAACATTAATGGGACGATTCAAACAACCAATATACAAATGTATTATTTGTAATAGGGCATAAACTTACATTGTTTTTGAATCAGAATCATATTAACATTCTTATCATTTACCTTTTGTATTATTTTTTTTACAAAATTTCAGGTCACTTAAATCAAGAAGCTAATGATAATGATCTGAGGTAATTGAGTGTTGAATTAAAAAATGTTTCCAGTTATGTAAACTTGATGTTTTATTTTTAAAAATGTATCGTTTTAATTTTCGATTGTCTAAATGAAGCATTTCTAATTAGCTTACGTTTATTATGGAATACTTTGTACCAGTATTAACTGACTGTCGAATCCCAATCGTTTATTGTATGAAATTATGTAGCTAATATATTGATAAGATGCATTTTTCCTCACCCTGTTTTAAGTGTTTTCATCGTTTAAGACTGTCGATACTTTACTACACTGACTAAGGTGTTGATATTACACAATATAACATGTACATAAATAAAATCAGATTTTTATAAAATCTAAGCATTGAGACTAGGAATAACTTTAGAATTTCATTCGACAATATGGTCTGGGCTTTTTTAAGAAAATAAATAAACAATTTCTTTTTAAAATAAACACCAAAATGACCGAATATGAATAAGGTCCACAAGATAACTGTACTAACTGATTATCCGATAATAATATCTTGATATCAGATGGGTTTTGTAAATATCATAGTAATTTCAATGGTTAAGATCATGAGTCAGTTGAAGCTAGGCCACCATGGAAAACCTGAGAGCACTGGAAGGCCGTTTCGTCCTATTGTGGGACTCCTCAGCAGTGCGCATCCGCGACCTTGCCTGCTGCGAGATTCGAACCCAGGACCTACTGGTTTCGCGCGCGAGCAATTAACCACTAGACCATTGGGCCGGCATCCAACGGTATTAATGTCTAACTTCAACTAATCCACGAAATTGAGCGACACATCCACCATTGTCATCAGTGTGTTACTATCTCACAACAGACCTGGTTGAACTCCACTGGTTACTACTTCTCACTAGAACTCCAGGATATACCTCTTGAAACCAGTCACTAGTGAGCATATGTTGATTAATTTCGGATGGGTTTTGTGGATATTATGGTGATTTCAATGGTTTCCATGGTGGTCTAGCTTCAACTGACTCATGATCTTAACCATTAAAATAATATCTTGATTCTAAATTCACAATTCGATATAGTGTACGTACGTATATGAGTTATTTATTTTGAAATGTAGTGAAAATTGAGGTATGTATGTATGTATGTATGTATGTATGTACGAAAGAACCATCGAACATGTTTATGATCCTAGACAATAGTCATCAATTAAAATTGTCACAAATCAAACTTGTCATTATAATATAACCAAACCTCACAGTAAAGAAAATACAATCGAAATCAACAATACAGTGGTGTGAGCTACTTATATCCACATAAGTAGTATATAACGATAATCAAGAATAGAATGTATTTCAGTAGAAGTTCGAGAAAATTGGTATGAAAATTCAAAAACAATGAAATCTGAGACAATGGACTGATATTTGCAAAGGGAACAGTCATGTTTGAAACAATTGATTGATATTTTGGTGAGATGTTCTGTATATTTATGCTCAGATACATTTGATTGTCCCCACTCGTGTTGCCGTTCACTACAATATTTCAGTAAAGTGAGTAATGTATATTATAGAAGACAACTTGCATTTTAATCAAGTTTTCAACATATAACATGTAGGAAGCATTTCAATAGTGTAATGAGAAGCGGAAGGTTGTAAGAATTATGTGATGTATTTGTGTAATACATTTCAAACAATATAAGAAGCACATTCTAGAATTTCAGAAATTTCTTTTTTAAATAATAAGGACAATTTGAAATATATGTTCTTTTATAGTGGTAGGTGAGCATATTTTGAAATAAACTAACATATATTGTTTACATTAAAAGACTGAATTACTTTCACAAATGACTTATTCATCATTAAACTGTCAACTTTATTTACCAGTTTGTTGTTTTACATACTAACGGCATGTATTTGATTTTTTTCACCTTACTAAAGTTTACTTCTAGAATATGTACAGTAGTATACGTCTAGAAACTTAAGATTTCCCACGAAATTAAACAGTGTTTTAGTTCAAATTAAACTAAAGTGTTATCTAGATGTTATAGCAACTATCCTGTAATCGATTTCCGCTATGGTTAATTTTTATTAAGCACTTTTATTAACTTAATTAACAGACAATATTGTTTGAGGAGTAACAACTTATCTATTTCTTTGTAGTATTATGATCATTATCTTGTCTGTATAAACGTACACACTTGATCACATAACAGCCTACGCACATATCTCTCCCTAGCCAAAATGTTAATCGCTTAAATACCACTCTATGATTCATCCTTCTCCCCATGTTTTGTGTACTCAAATCCTATTATTAGCCTTTTTCATTCAATTTGATTATAAATTTGCTTCTGTATTCGCTCGCCGTACACACATTAGTCTTTCTACTCCAAATTCGATCTATTTACTTATAACTTTGTTGTCTGAGCTATCTGCTAGTAAACTGTAGTTGCCGCTTCTTATTGCTTTCTGATTTCAAACATCGTTGGGATTTATATAATAATGGTAGACATTGCATCTTTTTCCTAGAATAATAATGTAAAATTTACAGTGATCACAATCAGAAGCAGTTATATTATGATGAATGATTTTTTAGTATTTAAGATTATGAATAAATATCTATAATATGAAATAAGAGATTATGCACTTTTCAATTGTAGTATTGCATTTGTTTCTAGAGACTTTCATGATTTTCCAAATTAATAGTTTTTTTTTAAAAATGTGTTTACATTTTTGATGATTACCACGGGAAGTTTTCTGCATCTACCTTATACTATTGATGTTCTGAAAACTTATTACGTAAAGTCAGTTTCTCAGCGTTAAAACAACACATATTGTCTCAATATAGTAAGATAAATGAACAAATTTAACATATTTAGTCACCCAAACATTAAGAATAGCTTATGTGTCTCAGCTTGGTACATAAATCATTCGATAAATTTTACTGATCCAAACATTTTAGCTACATTGTCCATGAAACAAAATTAATTTAAAAGGTGGTTGGGGTTGTCAACAGGAAACTAATTTCAATCATCTTTTATTTAAACAAAGACCATGTAGTTTCTAGTTACTTAGACTAATGATCACATTTCAACTTGACCGGCGGAATTCGATCAGCACTAAAAAGGGACTGGCATATGTGTGATTAGTCACAGTTGATTGATTGATCAATTAAAAATATAAAATTGATTCAATGGCATGAGTTAATATTTACCTGGAAATATATTATTGTTACTATCTTCGTCGCTTAATCCTTCTAATCTCTCTATTACGTAATGAAAAAATCAGATATTATTTCTGTCAACGTTGCATTGATTTTAAATAATTATATTATCTTTAGTATTTGAAAAAAATACTTGCTTCAAGTTATTTTTTGTTACATCCTAATCAGTAGAAAAATTGTATTCTTGATATTTCGTGACTTAATGTAAGCCGCTTCTTCAATATGAAGTCAAGAAATATCAGAAATACAATTCTTCTACTCATTAGAATATAACAAAAAAAAAGATAATGTTTTGGAGCAATTTCGTGGATTAGTTGAAGTCCCACATTAACACCGTTTAATGCCGGCCGGCTCAGTGATTAATGGCTAAGCGCTCGCTCGCGAGACTGATAGGTCCTGTGGTTCGAATCTCGTTGGGACGGTATCGTGAATGCGCACTGCTGAAGAGTCCCATACTAGAACGAAAGGGCCATTCAGTATTACCAGGTTTTCCATGGTGGTCTAGCTTCAATTGACTCATGATTTCAACTAAAATCTTCACAAAACCCCTTCTGATATTTTTTTCTATTAATTTTCTACATAATGCTCAGTTTAATCGAAACAATCAAGTTAAAATTTGGCATTGATACCTACAAGTTTCCAAAAAAGTGTTTAAAAGAAATGCATAAGATATCATTTTATTTATTCACATTGTATCCATTTTAATTACTGTTCAATGGGAGTATATCTAAATAAATTTTTATGAGAATATATTCAAACTGGCTTAATGATCTATTTACTGATAATTTACAATGTAACATTATTTTTGATTTATTTTTAAAGATTTTATTATTTACTAAACAGTATTCGTAATTCTTTAATTTTATGTACTGACAAATTTTGGATACATACATTAACAGTAGGTGTCACCTCGATCTGTTCAATTATTCTGTTGACAAGCCTTAATCGATTCATTTTTCAATGATTAGGTTATATATTTTGTTTGTTGTTGATCATTACATACAATGAAAGTAGCTTCAACATACCTTACATAATGCACCAATCCACCGATCACTCGTTCAAGCTTAGTCTTTTCAAGGTTAACCATGAATATATCTGCTAGGATAGGACTAAGCGGTCTTTCCATCACTGCACTATTAGTTTGACAGTAGATGACAGTATATTGACGGACATCATCTACTGTCAAACTAATAGTGCAGTGATGGGAAGACCGCTTAGTCCTATCCTAGCAGATATATTCATGGTTAACCTTGAAAAGACTAAGCTTGAACGAGTGATCGGTGGATTGGTGCATTATGTAAGGTATGTTGAAGCTACTTTCATTGTATGTAATGATCAACAACAAACAAAATATATATTAAATCTTTTCAACGATTAGGTTATAATTAATTTCAATAAAACCAGAAGACATTTACATTTTGGATTAATTAATTAATTTCCGTTCATTTACGTATTCATATACTTAAATGTGCTTGCTAAAAAGATCTAGTTTACATTAAAACAATTTAATTGTTAATCAAAATGTAGATAGAAATCATTAACTAACTGGTTGATTATCAGATTATTGATAAAGTCATCATGATCACAGTTTTGGTTTCCGAATTGATTTATTTATCACTGAAAATTTCTTTCAGTTCAACTATAAATTAGATGTTTAACATTGATGTGTTTAAATGGCAAACAATCCGTTAGGTTTGTTAGTTGCATCTCAAAGAAGTTATGTTTAGGTGTATCTGCTCTCTTCTTTTCAAATTTGATTATTCAATATATGTGGATCACTAATTGCTTCATAAAGCAGGGAATTCAAGATATCAGGGCATCGGAATAAGCCTAATTTCATTCAGATCCCAGCCGAAAATCTGATTTAATCATTTACCAATTTTGTACCTCATCATAATCACTTTTAAAATATGTAGTGTAATTTAGATATGGACTTAACATATTTCGTTCAAAATACAGCTTTTAATAATGATTGTAAGAAAGTACTTTTCATAATCTATGAACTGAAGAGATTGCGTAGTTGAAATACTCTTATTTTTTCAAAACGAAAGTGTGCTGTGTAATCGTTTTTTTATTTTAATAATTTTATAACGATTACTTACTTACTCCTGTTACCCCTCGTGGAGGAGCTTGGGCCACACACTGGTATTCTCTGACTAATTGTGTTCTGTATAATTCTTTCTAATTGTTTTCAATTGCTTCTCATCCTTTTGATGTCCACTTGGAATTCTCGACTCAGTGTATAAATATCGTATTAAAACTGAAACGTTTCAATCCTTTTATTTTTAGTAATACAACAATCCAAAGGTATAAGACAATTATTAAAATTGGTCAAATTCAACCAATTAATACATCGCCTCTTAGAAAAAGTAGTATACTACTAGGTAAACCATTATGGAGTCAACAAGTTATTGAAAAACCACTTGAAGTTCCACATACATTTGAATTGAGACGAAGTGCTAAACCTATTGTTTGTCAAAATTGTCATCGTTTATTACATGGATTATTTCGTCAAGGTTTACAGTGTAAAGGTTAGTTATTTAAATGACCTATAAAGTATATTGTAAATAACATAAAAACGGACATATTTGTTTAATAAGTTTATCCATTTGGAGCAAATTCATAAATGATGCCTAAAGGAAAAATGATATTAATATTTTGGACATTTTTCACATTGACCGAGTTCTTTTGATATAGGAAACACATATTATCACATTTTTTTATAATAAACAAATGAATAGTGATAGTTTATTTCTTCCTAGTTTGTAACTTAAAAAAAATTAAACATCCACAATTCTATACACTTTTGAACCCGTAATCCTCAGATTTCATCACGTACTGACCATCGCCCGTTCGTATTTTGCCAACGTCGATATGCAAGAAAGAATAAGATTTGGCTTTAAAAGAGAGGTTTTATTACCCAATATACGACAGTGTGATAGATAGAAGTCACACTGTACAGAATATCGGAGAAGACAGTGTTAGTTCCATGTATTGACACTTTGAAAAGGTGACAATTATTGTTGTTTTTGTGGCAATCGTACAACACCTTCAAATTCACTCTTTATTTTTTAAACTGTGGTTTGATGAAATGCTGAATTTCTAGTGTTATCCTTCGCCTAATTTATTTATCAAATAAGCAAATTACGTGCAGAGAAAATATGATTTTCAATAAGCTTGTCTCGAAATACAGTTAAGGAATAAATTTTCTGGAAACATAATATCAGTTTTTCAGGATTTTGTTATTAGACCGTAGTTAATTGGTAGTGTAGTAGTAACAATTATAATATTCATGTTGTTATTGGTATTAATAATAATCGTAGTGTTATTAATATGTGAATTGTTCAGCATGCAGTTATTTAACAGCGTGAGCATCTCATTTACACATGAAATTAGTGGCTGCCTGGACAGCCAGGTGATAACGTTTCAGTCTGTGAAACCTAGTGATTCATGTTTGAATCCGTCATGCAGTATCGGTTCCTTCAGTATTGCATCGTAATGACGATTTTCAAGTAGCATGAGACCCAAGTTCAGAGCTACCCACCTACCACCACCAAGCCCATTACATCAAATATATATCTATATATAATTACATATTTTGGTGATATATATGTAAAATGTACTGTATTTTTATTTTGGTACTTAGCCATTTAATTCCTATTCAGAAACAGTTATTTTAAAGCACACTATCTTCAATGTTTAATTCTGAAAATGTCATTTTATATTATCTGATTATTTTATCGCTTATAAGTAAACTGACAAACATATTTTTGCTTCGTTCATTTATTTAAAAATAGACTGTAAATTATGGGTACATAAGAAATGCGCCACATCGATACCGAACAATTGTGATGGTGAACAATTTTCTCAAGAAGATAATCCTATCAAAGGTCCATATGACGGTTTGATTTTTCTAATGTTCTGTACTTTATAAAAATATGTGTTTGTCCATTAACGTTTTTAGTTACATTTCACAGAAGTTATTATTAGGTGATATCTGCTCTTTTCTTTCCAAATTTGATAATTCATTATAATATGTCGATCGTTAAACGAAGCATTGATGATGCTGTAATGATAAACCGATAATCATCATACACTTTTAATGAAAGTCAGTAGCTTTTTTTACATAATTTAGTATTTATGCAGTCAGCTGCAGTTTTGATTGACAATCGTTCAACTCTAGTCCTCACTTATTGAAGAATTGTATAGATAGATTAATACAGCATACTTGGTGACCTGATGAATATCTGGGCTCCCGGTTCCTGATATCTGGATATTTCAACAAATTATCCGTTTTCTTGTTTGTTTTAACACATCATTATGCTTATTAGTCTCATAAACTATTCAGGTGAGCTTGTGATAAGTTTACGACATTTCACTGTACAATTTACCAAAAAGTACAATCAGAGACATCAAGGTTGCTGTTTATATGCATCGAAAAGAATGTACATTATTCAGATGTCGATTCCTCAACTGCTAACATCCAACTGGCGACCCTCAATATTTATTGCAAAGATCGATTAAGAAATAAGAAAAGGAGACCTGTTGAAATACATTGTGCTGAGAATCCAATATTGTACCAAAAATATAATATTGAATAAAGCCATTAATAATAATAATATCTATAATAGACAAATGGCTTAAGCGAAGATTTTCATCAGTCACTTTTGAATTTGTACACTTATTTCCAATCCATTTAAATGATTTTTAAAAATCCATTTCTTACTTACTTACGCCGGTTACTCTCAATAGAGCATAGGCCGCCGACCTGCATTCTCCAACCCAATCTATCCTGAACCTTCCTTTCTAGTTCTACCCAATTTTCGTTCATTATTCTCATGTCTGTCTTCATTTCTCGACGTAATGTGTTGTTTTGTCTTCTTCTTCTTCATTGACCTTGAGGATTTCATTCCCGGGCTTGTCTTGTGACGCAGTTGGGTGCTTTCCTCAATGTGCGTCCTATCCACCTCCAGTGTTTCTACCTGATTTCTTTCTCTACTGGAATCTGGTTTGTTCTCTCCCACAGTAGGTTGTTGTTGATAGAGTCTGACCAACGGATCCGAAGTATTTTGCGTACACAACTGTTAACAAACACTTGTATTTTCTGAATGATGGCTTTTGTAGTTCTCCAGGTTTCCCCCCCATACAGTAGAACTGTCTTGACATTTCTATTGAAAATTATGGATACACCGTGAAATGATTGTTCGTTATGTACGATATATTTTTATGTTGTTTCTTTTAATTTAATATCTATACTTTTTCTATAAGTAGCATAGAACGATTGTAGAAAAAAATACCATTTTACATAAATTAGTTAATAATGATATGAAATAATGATGATAATAATAAAGATAAATTTACTAATATATCAGTAGAATTAATCGAAATTAATCTATGCTAGCTTCTTACTGGATACAGATATTAAATATTAGTGATTAATAGGAATTTTTTTAAAAAGAAAAATAACTAATTTATGTATTAAATAATATGACTTTTTAATAGCTGAGTTCATAAGCCTGTTAATCCTCGAGCAAGAACATAGGCCGTTCACTAAGAATGTCTATAGAACTCTGTCTTGGACGATCCTTTCCAGTTGTTTCCAGTTGCTTTTTGTCCTTTTGTTGTCTGCTTCCAATTTCAGATGCAATGTATTCTTTGGTCTTCCTCTTTTCCGTTTCCCACCTGTAGCTCTTCTAGAGTTCCTAAGCTATTCCCAAGCCCGGGGTTAGCCATCACATCTAGAGAAAAAACTTTGCTAAAAAAACGCTAACCAGATGTCATATATTAGTCATACTAAAGATCAGTTATAAGTGAAATAGATGTGTGTACATTAACAGGAATGGTAAAATTATTAATATTATTTATTAAATAATTCAATCGGTAAGTTTGAGGTAATCAATATGGGTTGAATATTTCAGTTTGAAATTTAGCTTATGTAGTTCAAGTATCAGTGTAGTGGTATTTATGGTGATATTTTCACTATTTATAGTAATGATTATCTATAAAATCTAGATCACAACCATGATCAAAAGAAGTGTGATAGCAAGTGTTTTCAATGTATATGGGTCTTTATGGACTTATTATTATCTCTATCCTATAGAACATAAGATTTGACCTAATTGTTGAGATATATCTTAAACTATTAAACTATTTTCTCATATTTTTATCTAGCCTTTCATAAACCATGCTGGTAGATGTTCACTCATTCGTTGGTTAAGTTATCTGGTAGTAGTTGGCCTCCTCAATCTACATTTACAAATTCATCTGCTCCTGTAGAGATAACTATATCAGGAGTACTACCAGGAAACTTAACTAGCGAATGAGTCAACATCTACCGGTATGATTTATGAAGGGTCGAATAAAAACAATACACAGTTCCATTTTCTCATATGTCATGTGTATTAATAAATTTGATTAAAATTTTTCATATCTGATTAAAACCATCAACATATTTTTATTAAATATTGAATTAAATATGTCAATTTAATGAATCTAATTGATATTATTAAATGAAGTAATCAATCATACAGAAATCTAATGAGATATGAATACTTTAATCATAAAAAGGATAATTGTAGATTATTAAATGAGAGAATTCACTTTATGAAACCAGAAAAGATAATCAGAATTTATGTTCACCTAACTATTCTAATCAGAGAGTAGTTTTGTGGTAATTTAATAGTTGAATTCATGAGTCAATTGAAGCTAGATCACCATGAAAAACCTGGAAGCACTGGACGGTCATTCAGTCCTATTGTAGGACTCCTCCACAATCATGCCCCCTCAAGAGATTCGAACCACAGGACCTATCAATTGATTGACTACTGAGTTGACTAATGACATTTATCTAACCCTATAATAATGATCGAATTCTATTGCACAAATAGGAATAGATAAAGATGACATTGTCCACTAATCGATAATGCACCAGTTATAGACAATTTAACTCATTAGACTGGAGTTTTGATAAAAACTTTTAATATAAGATGAAGGTTGTAGAAACCTTTCAGTTTCAACTAATATAGTGCTTGTAAGCAAATAAATGACTTCTGGAGGTAACACTGGTTTTACGAAAATAGTAAAAAAAGTAAGAGTTGTTGTGTTGTATTTACAGTGATAAAAATAACCACAATAATAGGCCATAATCAAACAGCTTTATCTCAAGTTTATTAGCTTAAAGTTTAAGGGTCTCTTCTCATTTGTCTATCAAGTTCAGATTGGTAGGTTTAATGACTCAAGATTACATGTAATATTTATAGCTTAAGTATTTAGCATTAACTTATTGAAATATGTTTAGTGGTTTGATTTACCTTGAGTCATGATACAGCTTTTCTATTCTTAGTCTAATCTTTTCAGTACACCTTAGGAAAATTAGTTCCTCACCTTCCATTTCATTACGATTTGTACTCCCTCATATGATATTTTCTTATTCATAGTTATAAATTTATCTTTCGTATTTTACATGTTATTCTCCTTAATAATAATAGTACCAATAATAGTAATAATAATAATAATAGTAGTAGTACCAATAATAGTAATAATGATAATAATAGTACCAATAGTAGTAGTAATGATAATAGTAGTACCAATAAAGGCAATAATAATTGTCATTCTATTCACACTGAACACAACATAACAATACCTATTTTATATCAAAAGTTTTACATAAAAATTTCAATTTATTGATCTGAACTAAAATAATAAATGGTAAGCGAACAATGTTAATTTCAATTAGATCATGATTAGGATTAAGATGTATTCCAACTTACAACTAGCCTTTATATACATAAATGTAATCTACAAAAAAAAATTAAATTGGTCCATGAGCCAGTAATAATAATGAAATAGATTACATAAGTAGGTGTAATAAGTGTAATGTACAAAATTATAATAAAATAATTGGTATATTAATAGTGATATAAATAACAGAAGCTTGAACGTTTCAATAATTATTAAGTAGGTCATAACTTGGAAAAAGTAAATAGTGAATTATTAGTCATTAAAAAAATATTAATGTTGTCTAGTAAGAGATGTGCAAATACATAAACAGTGAATGAAGATATATGAAAGAAGTGAAGAAGAACAAATAAATGAAGGTATGTGAAACTAATAAAGTCATCTATTAAATTTTATCAGGTCATGGAAGGGATATGCGGTGTTATATCCTTAACTCATACGATTACCGCGAATACGATTGCCAAATTTAGATATACGGACTTATACGACCAACAAATGACACATAAACCTGAACGTACAGCTTAGAGTCCCAATTGGTTCTTTTACATGCCTGTTAACACCAATCTCAGCCTACGGGATATGAATCATATATTTCAAACATATTCGGTTTATGTACAAGCCAAACAGACCACATCACATCAGAAATAGAAAATAACATTTGTAAAAGATCAAGCCAAAAGGTGGCTGTGATTGAGGGTGACTGAAATTAACAAATTGGTATAACTTAAGGACAGTAAATCGTATAATATTTGTCTATAGATCAAAATAAAGCTTATAGTAAGAGAAATATGAGTATACATAAACTAGTTACTTAATAGTTATACATTAAGAATATACATATAATTATTGTTCATATATAGATCTCAACATTTACCTTTGATTATCTTCGTAGGAATATAATATGGGGTCTAAAAGTTCTAGAAAACTCGTTCTGAACACAATAAATTTATTGTCTCGAACCTTCCCATATTTAGACATATGTAAAGGACGGAGAGGAATCCTGTCGGGAAAGTGTGAAAGTATGCAGCAAATCACTCGAAACGATTTAGTTTCATCATCATATCACCTCTGCCGGCCAATGATGATCCTTGTTCCATCATTTCCCAACCACATAGGATGATATTCAGTTATTCGTTGGTTAAATTATTTGGTG